AATGGGATGAGCCGAGGCCCAGTAAATGAAGTCTCTAATTTTAAGTTAGGAAAATCAGCTTACCACTTCACCTGGCATAAACCACATACATGCATAATAAATAGTATGCATAGAATTCGAATGCATGTTATACCTTTACCGTCTAGATGTACCACAAAGTCTGAGCAATGCAACATTTCACAATACTTTCACTCAACCACAAGCATATGAAGTAAAACATTCATGCGATTAGGTTCATTACTTCATCCTCCCAAACACTCCCGGGACTTCCCGACCATCGGGGCATCTCAACTTCAAAGCATCCCGGCACACACCCGGGGCATCCCGACCATCGGGTCATCTCGACTCCCGAGGCATCCCGAAACACTCCCCAAGCATCCCGACTATCGGGGCATCCCGATACACGGGGCATCGTCACACACCACTAAATGGGCGATGGAATTAATATTATTCTCATGCAAGCCATGACAACCAAATATTTGCATGCATATATCCGCTTTGGTCCGTCTCATACCGAGCCTCACGGTTTTGTCCTTTAAAGAAATGAAATGCATCATTTGAGCAAATAAGTATGAAGCAATACGGGTTCAAACTCAAAAGGTTAAAGTCTACTCAAATTTAGAAAATACTCATATCCAAATTTTGAGATAAAACTTCCTTGATTAAGAAAATACTGATTCTGGACAGGCGAGCTAGGAAATCAAACTCAAAAAGCAAGTTCAGACTCAGAAGCGGGTTCAAACTCAGAAGTGAGTTCGGACTCGAAGCGGGTCGGACTCGAGCGGGTTCGGACTCGGGAGCGGATCGGACTTAGAAGCGGGTTCGGACTCGAAGCACATTCAGATTCAGAAGCAAGTTCAGACTCACAAGCAAGTTCAGACTCACAAGGCTAAAGTCTGAAGGTAAAGTCTAAACGAAAAGTCTTAAGGTAAAGTTTGAACGAAAAGTCTGAGAGTAAAGTCTGAAGGTAAAGTTTGAACGGTAAAGTCTGAGTAGTAAAGTCTGGGCGGTAAACTCTGAAGTAAAGTCTGAGCTGTAAGGTCTGAAGATAAAGTCTGAGCGTAAGGTCTGAAGGTAAAGTCTGAACAGTTTAAAAAGTATACAGAACCAGATTTTTGACAGTAAAGTCTGAGCAGTTTCAAAGGTACACAGAACCAGATTTTGACAGTAAAGTCTAAGTAGTTTCAAAGATATACAGAATCATCATTCATACTCACATAATATACTCCGCTTTCAGTAAAACGATTTTCTACCTTTTTTAAATATACATAAACCAATAAGAAGAATTCAACAATCACCTCAAAGATAACACTTACACGTTCAGATATAATCGTTTCACTTGCCGATTTTCACCATACTTTAAGGAAACAAATCACATCCATTTGAACATGCACAGAACCAGCAAAACAGATTCAACCATCACCACAACCTCACTATTGTCACACATCATAAATGGCATTTCACAGGCAACCAAGTAAAAAGTGTCAGTAGATTTACTTAGCTTAAATCTAGAGTTTTCACTTACCTTGTGCAGAATTTGAACACCCACAAGTTAAAGCTCTCTCGGAGATTCTAGATCGGTGATGGTGAAAGTAAAAAGTGAATAAGGGAGTTACAATTTGGTAAAATTTTCCTTCGGTGATACCTAGATAAATGAAACAGAGGAGCAGACGAAGAGGTGGATAATTACAATGCACTCATAGGTGGCATCTTCTCTTTCCATCATGGCCAGGTGTAAGAAATTAGGAAAGGAGTGGTGGCCAAGGAAAATAATTACTTAGGCTAGGTATCTGGCTAGACAGAAGCTGGCTTAAAGGGGACAAATGGCATTCGGTCAACTTCTCCTTCAATAGCCACGTGAGGGAAGAAAAGTGCAGAAGAGATATTTTGAGAGAATATCTGCCCCCTTCCCTTAACGGCAAATTAGAATAAAAAACTAACACTACTTAATTAAAATTAACCAATAATAATAATACCCACTAAATTCCCAAAACAACGGTAAATTAATTAATACCGCATTACGATTATCGCACACAACAACGTTTAAGATTTTAATTATGACGAGCTCGGGGAGATTACGTTTCCGAATCCGCGCTTCGCGATTTACAATCCAACAACGATTTTTACGCATCCGCACGAATATTAACTTAAATAATACTTAGCTTTATAATCCAAATATCATCTTCGAACATAGAAAATTCCCAACGTCAATTACTTATTGTTACGAAATTTCCGAATGTCACAACCAGTCCCAGACTGACTTCATCTATTCATGTTTATATTGCTTTTGCTAACACGAGTTCTCATTCTTCCTCTTTTTTCACCTACTAAAGCAACAAATACATGTTCACCAGATTTTCTTCTTCGGATGTCCTCACTCAGAATTAAATCTCGAAAACCATCAAACGTCAAACTTGTTGACTCAGAAGAATTACTAATAGCAGTAACAGTAATATTCCAACTATCAGGAAATGAGGATAATAGAATCAAAGCACATACCTCATCTTCAAAGTAAATATCAACTGAACTCAATTTACTAATGATCACATTGAATTCGATAATATGATCAACAACTAACGCACATTTGCTCATCTTTAAGTTAGACAGACGTCGCATCAAATAGACTTTGTTAATTGCAGAGGGCTTCTCGTACATGTCCGACAGAGCTTCCATCAAGCCCGCAGTGGTTGTCTCTGTCAAGATGTTAAATACGACGTTACGAGCTAACGTCAGCCGAATAACACACAAAGCTCATCTATCCAGCAATTCCCAATTAGCTTGCTTCATCATCTCTGGCTTCTCCCTAGATAGGGGCAATTACAGTCTCATTTGATACAGATAATCCTCAATTTGCATTTTCTAGAAACCAAAGTATTTCCCATCAAATCTATCGATTTTAACTTTTCCTTCTTCAGTCGCCATCGATTCGTTTCAACTCAACCAAGCCTTGCTCTGACACCAATTATTGCGGAAGCAAGCGATCAAACAATAAAATTGATAGAGCAAGAAGATAAATCGGATACCAGATTTACCTAGTTCGGTCGTAGTGACCTACGTCCACGAGGAGAGCAGTATGAAATTTCACTATAAATCAAGCGATACAACGGAGATTACAACCACACTCGAGTCACTTAAACACTCAAAGTGTTTCCCAACACTCAAAATTGATAGAGCAAGAAGATAAATCGGACACCAGATTTACTTAGTTCGGTTGTAGTGACCTACGTCCACGAGGAGAGCAATACGAAATTTCACTATAAATCAAGCGATATAACGGAGATTACAACCACACTTGAGTCACTCAAACACTCAAAGTGTTTTCCAAGACCCAATTATACCCAATAACTCAAACAGTTTTTAGCCCACAATTCCTCATGAAATAATCTCTCAATCTCGCGAATGAATTATACACAAATTCTTACCACAAGATTTTAATCGCTTCAACACTAAAAGCTCCTAGAGTGTAATTCACAAGCAAAAACTCTCCTTTGATACTCTTCATAAGAAGTCACACTTCTTATATATATAGACAAGACCAGGATCCAAAATAGAAAAACTCTTTTTAGGAAACCTTCTCCAATTAGGAAACCTTTTTCAACTAGGAAACCATTCAATTAGGAAATCTATTCAAAATAGGAAACCTACTTCAATCGGGAAAACTTTCCTTTTTGGGCTCAAAATCAAGACATAATTTTAACATTTTTTTTATGTAACCTCATGCTACATTATTTGGATGAATAGTGTTTGAGTGTATATATCCAATTGTGCCGGTCAAAATATAGATAGGAAAGGAAAGTAGCAAAGCATTGAGTAACCGAATATGTGATTACTCCTATTTCTAGCAAAAGAACACTACAAGTGCCATAAGTTGTGTACAGCGCTTACTTTGGTGCCAAAAGTTTTTTTTGGATTACTTCAGTGCTAAAAATTTTTAAAAACGATCACTTAAGTGCCAACTCCAGTGCCATACACAACTTTTCGCCAGAAATCCGACGTGGCATTTTTTTTATTAATTTCTGAAGCTGACGTGGCTCGCCGAAATTGGCACTTAAGTGATCGTTTTTAAAAAATGTTAGCACTGAAGTGATCCAAAAAAACTTTTGGCACTTAAGTAATCATTTTTCCTCCGATTTGACACTTAAGTGAGTCGGCAAAAACTTTTGGCACTAAAGTGAGCGCCGTACACAAATTATGACACTTATAGTGTCCTTTTGCCTCCTATTTCTAGACACAAAGAAATCTTCTTCTTTTTTTATCTTCTTTACCTCTGATTGAAGTCAACTCTCTTGGTTCTTACTTTGTTGCTTGAGTCTCAAACAATGGTAGAATTTGGAAGTCCAATATTTTTCTTTGTGAGATACGTCTCTGCTTCACTCTTCAATGCGTTGTTTCTTTGTAGCAAAAATATTCAAATTGAACAGAATTAGCTTGTCTCTAGCATGACCGTGTATAAACACGCTACATAGAGAGAGAGACCTGGGTATTTGTTAGTTTAAGTGTCCATACACTTGGCCAAATTTTTCGTAATGTTTTGGGAATTAAATGGCCAAAATCTGAAATATTTAGGATCCAATCAAACGGACATAAAAACACTTAGAATTTGTACTACATCTATCCAAAACTAGTTATGCCACGTCAGCCAAGTCATACACGAATGGTTATTTGTCATTGTATACTTTCAACTGCAATTGGTTCAAACCTTTGACCTGATTTTCACTTAAATCAGGCCATACATTAACCGTTGGAAATATAACGCGAAAATGATAAGATCTTGCAAATTAAGTCGATGTAAAAATACCAGAGAAAAAAATGATGAACGATAAAGAATATTAGAGATTTACGTGGTTCGATCTGAATATCGGTACCTACATCCATAGAGAGAGACAGCAATAAATAACCTACTATAATCGGAGGATCAGAGTTACAATTCGCTTAAACGTTTGAGTGTTTCTCACACTTAAATTTAAGCTCAAATCCCAAAATATTTACGAATAAATAATTTAATTGGACGAAATAAACTCACAACACAAATTACTGTGTGTCCAAGCCCAAAGCAAAACATGCGCACGTTCAAGAGCGTCACTGTACGTCTTGCTTTGTGCTGCTTTGGTCTTCGCTAAAGGAAAGAAACCCTCAATTTCTTTTCTTTTTATATGCGGCAAAAACCTTTGTTTTGCTGCCCTTTTATCTGACTTCCGTGGCCCCACACGTTTCTTTTGTACGCCCAAGAAGGGAAGTCCTTCACTGATAAGGAGTCAACAAATTGACTTGCCCCACCGAAATAGATATAATAAAATAAAGTGTACCCCTGTTTTGTCTTTTAGTGACCTTCTTTATTCTCTATTTGTGCTAAGCCAATAACCGCGAGCCCCCGCGTCCGAAATCAGCTAAATAGGAAAGAACTCGAGACACAAATTCAACATTACCTATCCTTTACTGCTCTTGGTACCTTCCTTTTGCAATTCCTGCGTACGATGCACCCAAGTCATAGTTTTCATTTGTTTGTCAATATTCCCCCAAACCTTAAACTATCGACCTTAGTTCTCACGAAGACTTTTGAAGCACAATATTCACCGGAAGAAAGATTCCCAAGGTCAAGATACGTGACTTTCTCAGTTGTTTCATATGAAGTCGGCAATAGATTAATTTAGATGAAAAAGAGCCAAAAATAGGCGATAGTATAAGTGAGGACCAGATCGAGTTATTATAACTTGCCCTCCTCTTGACGATTATGAAGTCCAATTCATAGACTTAGCCAAGAAACATGCATGCGTTTTCGAGCAGAAAGATTAGGAAAAACAAAGTGATGTTGATGGATCCCATCGGGCCGGGTTTCCTCGAAACTCGAACATGCGAGCAGCTCGGGCCATACGCAATTCCTGACTTGAGGGCACCAACCAGTTAGAAGTAAGAAAAGGTATGCTATGCATCCAGTATCTTATGAAGCAAAAATAGTGATATTGTTGCCTTCTTCTTCTGCAGTTGAATAAGTTTAGCGTTTAGCACAGAAAAGGAAACTACTTCTACCTCGGCTGAACAGCATCAGTACCTGCCTCAAAAAATTTTGTGGAGTTTGTTTTGATGTGGTTTACGTCGAAAGGTGATTTTCGATTTGATTGCTAAGAAATCCAAGCCAAAGCCCAAACTTCCTCTTTTTGACTTTTTAATATTGTGCTGGGCAATATATCTTGAGTCGGCTCATATTATCGTTGAGTCAACGTCCCTAACCTTGTTAAACTGCCCATATTATTTATATCAATAGTAAGGGGTTTCATATCGAGGAAGAAATGAATCTAATATTAATATTTTTCTAGATGCAAAGTTTTAATTACCTTTAACGGCTCAACTAATTTCTTGCAATAACAATGCAACCTAATTGTACAGTGGTTACCACTGGAGTTTGCTCCAGTGACCACCCTTCCTATTTGGAAAGGGAAAGGTGAGGAGTTCGATTCTCTACTTTCTCATAGGGGCTAGGGGTTGGGACGTTTAGTTTCAAACGTAGATTTCAATTCACGCTCTGCAAAGTGGTAGGGCAAAAGTCTAAAAATGAGTTAAGTGTTAGAGTAAAACAAACACAAAAAATATATATTGTATGGTCTGAACTACCCCTATAATACAATTAATAGTATAATTGTGATGGTCGAAGAATAGATGGAAAGGAAAAAATGTAGCAAGGCATTGAGTAAACCCAACTTGTAATTTACTCCTACTTCTAGATTTCAAGTAAATCTTTTTTTTTTCCTTGAACTTCTTTACCCTGCTGACTCAAGTCGACCTTTTTCACTTGCTTGATGACTTTTTTCTGTTTTTTTGTTTTTTAGTCTCAAATATCTATTTTATGTCCAAAAAAATAAAAAGATTCTTCTCTATGAGAAACGCCTCTGCTTTCAATGCGTGGCCATTACGGAAAAGACATTCAAATTGATCAGAACGAGGATGATTTCAGTCATTATACGTCTTCCAATTTATTTAAAACCCATTGCATTTGTTTTGCGAAAAATAAATTATTTGTAAAATATTTTCCTAAAAATAATCGTTTGTACCACTTACGAAAATAAATTCACGAAAAAAATATTCATCATCCATGAAAATATTTAAACATAAATTATTATCAACAAAGAGAACAATTTTCATTAACTACTTATTTCAAATGATATAAATGACTAACCTTTGAAAAATATTTTCCAAATCTCCACAAAAAAACTGAATCTTTTTGCTTCCGAACCTTTTCCAACCAGATAGCAAGCGATCACTCAACAATGAACAGTAACTGAAAGCAGGTGGCCGGGAATGAATACCTATGCCTTACAGCAATGAACCCATGTCTTCGACATGAAAATACGATGTCCTAACCACTAGGAGGTCCTCCTTATGATGCTACGGACGGGCATTAGGCAGATGGATCTTATCAAGGTTGGCAAAATACGGAAACATATTTTACAGTTGATCGAGCTTACTATGCTTAATCGCACATAAAGAAATAACTAAATCCCCACGGGACCTCATCGCAGAGTACCCGGACCTCGCGCATGTTGTGGTATAATGAACAGATTTATCCGTTCAATTTCAACATTAAATATTTTTTGGAAGATATCAGAAGATAAAAAGTACATCTTGAAGAACTTGAGAGTTTCAACAAGATTAAGTCAGTCGTACGGAGCCTGAATGAGATCATAGACAACCCAAAGAATACTAACAAGCAAATTCAATTGACTTCCCAGTGCTGGTGCTGACAAGAAGTTCCAGAGATGCTTAAATTCCAGAATAAAGTTTTTCCTTGACTTTAAGAGGTATACTCAGGCCCATCGAACCCCCACAGTTGGCCGGTGTCAGCACAAACGGACTGGCTCAAAATAATAGATGTAAATAACAGTAGTTAGAATCTTCAGCAGAAAAAGTGAGCATGGCAATAATACACCAAAATGCTATGAGTTGAGATGAGAAGGTTCTAATGAATCTTACTTTGCTTGTACCTTAAGAATAATATTACACTCCTACCACAGTTAAGAATATTGTCTTGGGTGCAATTCAACAACAGAGAAACAGACATTAAAATTGGTGGATTCATCAGCTGAAACGTTAGCCTTAACTTTCCAATCTGAGAAGCAGTAGACTAGCGTATGAAGTACGACCACTTTGCATGGACAGAGAGCAACTTGTTTAGCTCATAAAAAATGCAAAGTTTTGAGTGATAGATTGTGTATGTAATGGACAATGAGTTCCTGTATTCAATATATCAAACAAAACAATGTACGCTAACCACTGACTCTGAACTTTAGTGACAGATCATGAATAAGCCAAGTACAAGTACAATGAGAGAAGGAATGGAAGTAAATCAGTGGCAGTCAGAATAACCATGGAAAACTACAATATCTGTAATGGAGAGAACTCTCTGTTATGCGATCATACGTTCTCTCAAAATACGGGATAAAAATACTAGAGGTGCCATAACTTTCCTACAATACTTTAGTGCCAAGCCATTACTTGAGTTCTACATTTGTAAAAACACAATCACTCTTAAGGAAAACTACCACCAGAACCAGACCATATTACCTTCAAACTAGGGTAAGAATTGTATTAAAGACACGGTAATCAACCGTCCCTAGCATGTGATGTAATGAAATTTTTTTCACTCCCTGGTTTTATATCAAATTGAATGCTTACATAAAAGTTCTTGAGCGAATATAATAAATGCTTCTCTCGTCATTCATTCACGTTAGACGATGTCCACCAAGAATACGCGAAATCTGCAAGCCTCTGCTAAATGCATGGTTGAAGAGAATACGGGTATGGAGTTCTGAGACAATTGGATTCAAAGCCAGGATTACAACTGGAATGAACAGAAACAAACCCATCATGATCTCGTAATAATGGGCAAGAGTAAGAACTGATCCCCAAATTCCAAGCTTGACGACATGAGGTTTGCAAGTTTGTGCAATCTGGGTAAAGACAAGTACGTAAAGTCATCAATCACTATGGTCCATTAAGTACAGTGGTGGAAGGAAACAAGGAATAAAAATGTAAATTTGAAATAATGAAAGAAGCTTAAATATTATGTGAAATGCAATACCAACAAGCGGTTTCAAAATTAAAAATTGAGACCAACCAGCAGAATCACCACATCCATGTAATAATTGATAGGACCATTTGAATGCGTTAACACTCACAACTCACACAACTTAAGAAAGAAAAGGAGACAAATAGGCTTTTCTTTTCTTTTTTTTATTTCACCTTATCACGAATGATCAGAAGACTTGCCTTTATATAGGCTTGTTACATGACTCTTACTGACTCATAAATATATCTAGCATTCCAAGGAGATATATTTCTAGGAATTAACAAAATATTGACTAGACATAGAAATACAAATAGTCGAAAATGCATGTAGAATATTTATGAATTCGGCTTAATTACAAACAATAATAACAAGCATCCGTACTTTTACCTCAATAATAACCAAACTAAAACAAGATGAAAAAGTCAATTGTATATATAGTCCAAAAGAATAAGGGCAAGAGAGTAGCTTCACTGACCAAAATGATTCCCCAACCCGTTAGCAAGAAAGCAAGAATGCAAAGCATTAAGTCGTGCATTGTCATGTACAAAACGAAAATGGCTACCAAGGACAAGAGCGAAAGTCCGTTGATTGCCCGAACGATGGGGATGAACTCATCGCTGACATTTAATTTATCGTAAGAAAAAATCTGCAAAATACAAACAAGAACGTGTGGATTTCGCTATTGAGAAGAATATAGAGGAATCAATTCATATGAGAAACAATATAAGGAAGATCATGTATCCTCACCAACACCACAAACAATACAAGGAAGATCATGATATGCCATAGACCTGCAATTATGCCTATTATAACGGAGCGATGTTGGTCTAAACCAAATATCCATGTTCGAGGCTAAAATAGCCAGTGGAAATGGGGAGCAGATTTTGAGTAGAGATGTGTATCGACTTGGACGTCTTTTTGATTTCTTCAGAATGTTATCATGTTATTTCACCACCGTTGGCTTTTACATCAGTACTCTAGTAAGTCGGCATTTTCCTCTTGTAGTTGTATTTTTCTCCTTATGCATCTCTCAATTATGAACTATATTATTATTTTTTGTGGCAAATTAATTTGCTCACAGTATCTGCTTTCCTTTACGGCCATCTTTATTTAGTTCTTAGTGGGCTTGAAAAGGAATTAAGTACTGAACCAGGAACAATGGATGATAAGCCTCTCCAGATATTGTTTGGAAAGGGATCTCTTTGGCATAATTGCAGGTCTATGGCATATCATGGCTTATGATCTTCCTTATAGTATTTGTGGTGTTGGTGAGGATACATGATGTTCCTTATATTGTTTCTCATATGAATTGATTCCTCTATATTCTTCTAAATAGCGAAATCCACACGTTCTTGTTTGTATTTTGCAGATTTTTTTCTACGATGAATTAAATGTCAGCGATGAGTTCATCCTCATCGTTCGGGCAATCAAGGGACTTTCGCTCGTCCTTGGTAGCCATTTTCGTTTTGTACATGACAATGCACGACTTAATGCTTTGCATTCTTGCTTTCTTGCTAACGGGTTGGGGAATCATTTTGGTCAGTGAAGCTACTCTCTTGCCCTTATTCTTTTGGACTATATATACAATTGACTTTTTCATCTTGTTTTAGTTTGGTTATTATTAAGGTAAAAGTACGAATGCTTGTTATTATTGTTTGTAATTAAGCCGAATTCATAAATATTCTACATGCATTTTCGACTATTTGTATTTCTATGTCTAGTCAATATTTTGTTAATTCCTAGAAATATATCTCCTTGGAATGCTAGATATATTTATGAGTCAGTAAGAGTCATGTAACAAGCCTATATAAAGGCAAGTCTTCTGATCATTCGCGATAAGGTGAAATAAAAAAAAGAAAAGAAAAGCCTATTTGTCACCTTTTCTTTCTTAAGTTGTGTGAGTTGTGAGTGTTAACGCATTCAAATGGTCCTATCAATTATTACATGGATGTGGTGATTCTGCTGGTTGGTCTCAATTTTTAATTTTGAAACCGCTTGTTGGTATTGCATTTGCATTTCGCATAATGTTTAAGCTTCCTTCATTATTTCAAATTTACATTTTTATTCCTTGTTTCCTTCCACCACGGTACTTAATGGACCATAGTGATTGATGACTTTACGTACTTGTCTTTACCTAGATTGCACAAGCTTACAAACCTCATGTCGTCAAGCTTGGAATTTGGGGATCAGTTCTTACTCTTGCCCATTATTACGAGATCATGATGGGTTTGTTTCTGTTCATTCCAGTTGTAATCCTGGCTTTGAATCCAATTGTCTCAGAACTCCAGACCCGTATTCTCTTCAACCATGCATTTAGCATAATCAAATAAATAAATTTACGTCATAAGGGTATCGCCAGAATCAAACACATTTAAGATTGCACCAAGATGCCAGACCTGCATATATCTTCCATGATTATTTGTCCTCTGACAACTTCAAGAATACATTGGATGAGAGACGTAACTTCCTTCCTATCCTCTCATTTATTGTCCAACTGCAAATATACAAAATAAAAACAAGAAAATGATTATTAAATAGTCAACCCTAAAATAACCAAAAGAAAGGAAAAATACCAACGGAATACAATCATTACCAGACATCTGATGAGCTCAACAAAGTGATCATACAGAATTGGAAGTGCACTCATCTTGAATTTACTTGACAAATTGCCATCTTTTATATATCTGTCAACTTGAGAGAAGTCCTAGGATCCAGCATCAGAGAGATCAAACAGGGCACGTTAGAACCAGTAGGCTTCGGTTGTCTTACAGAGATTTATAGAATAGGTGACAACTAATGTTGCAAATCAGACTTACTCTTTCCCACGCTCTCCTTCAACCAAAGACTTAATGATGTTTCTAAACTGAGTATAGCATTCACGAATAGCAAAAGGCATAAATTTGCCGGTCTTTATTATCTCTCTGAGCTCCTGGTCCTTATTATTGCTGTCTTTAGCCATGTTGAGTGCGGTAGGTATCTGTAAAATATGTAAAGCAGATGCTAGGGAGGGGAACTCAAATACATAATGAGATATCCGAGAATCATCCTTGCGGGCTAGTAAAAATGGAGGCCACTGGATAATGTCTTCCAGATCATGATCAACCCAATATGGAAACAGCAGAAGGTTCATCTCCCTGGCAAAGCAACACAGAAGCAATTAAATATCAATTACTAATAGAAGTAAACTAGCAGCAAATAATCCGCCACTAGAAGAGATTGCAGCGGAGTGCAGCAGAAAAAATTTGAAGACGATAATAATAAGAAAAATATTCTAAGCACCAAAGACCTATTGCTAATAAGATCTTCTCTGACGCTGCTAATTATTGTGTTCCATAATTGAGCAAATCTTGCTTTCTCTTTTTTCGATAGGATCTGTCAGCAAAGCCAGACAAATAACATGAGTACTGCTGCTGAAGTCTCACAGCAACCAAAATGAGGAATCATTTTAAATGGAAAAAAAAAGAACCATGCTGAATTGCAGAAACCTCACCCTAGCATTACTTTGTGATGAGGTCGCCTCTGATCCATCTTTCTTCGGCTCAGCCTTCTCTTTTCCAATTAAACGAGCATTGAAAACACCGGGCAAATATTCAAAACGAGATCTAACCATTCGCAATGTCCTCTGGGAATTTCAAGAAACAAGGAAATGAAAGATGGAAGAAAAGTATTAAAACCAAACTAAGAATTTCTCCGCAATGTTACCAACTGCAACTTAAGGAGGGAAAAAAACGGCAATGCTGACAAAGCGTACTCCTGTTTAAGTCTTAGTCAACTCTATTTGGATGTATGTGTGGACATATGCATATAAAGGGTTACCAGGTAATCAAGAAACATGCAGATCCAGAAATGTCAAATGAAGACAAAATGCAATACAAAAGCACAAAAACTACATCAATCCACTGTTTAGGGTACATTATCAAGAAGATATCCACGATGCAAGTTCCCAACAGTGCGCACTGTCCAATGTACAGATTAAGCAGCATATCACCTGATGAAGAAGACATCTCTTTATATACTTTATAGAATTTTTAGCGATTATTTTTAACAAATCAACTGAGCACTGATTCGTGCTGGTGACATCTAGATTGCTGCTGTTACAATGGACAAAATTGTTCTTTTTGTTGTCCTCAGTCATACCAGGGATGGTGCAATGTGATAGAAAACGCGCATATCCAAGCCATTGAAACGTAAAGGCCACTGCTAGTAGTTCTTATGAAAGGTAAAAGAACCAGCTTTAAACTTTTCATAATGAAGAAAGAAGGTCAACACTTCAAAATATTATTATCGGTTGTAGATTAAATCGCATAGCAAGTGGATCAACACTTCAAAATATTGTTAAAACTTTCCTCTGAAAAAATCTGATATGAGTTTGAAAATGAAGAATCTGTAACAAAATTTTCAACCCGCATCTTGCAATTTAGATCAAAATGTAAAAAACTCAAACACAAAATAAGCAATGTCTAACTTTAGAAAACATTATTCCGGAAAAACACCCACAAGTTTGAGATCGGCTAGATTATTAGATTGAAATTTAATTTTCAATTTTGAAATAAAGTTTTGCTCACTATTTGATAAAATTTTAGGCAATTGATTGTGTATTCATAAGCCGTCAAAAATATAAATTTAACATCTTCTATGTATCTTTTGTGAATAAAATATGAGACCAAGAATTACAATTAACAACCATCTCTAGACAAAGTGATAATAGGATGCAAGATATGATGATATCTTGTTGGATGTAATTGGGCATATCTATTATGAAGGTGATGAGAGATATGATAGAAATAAATGCAGTGATTTTGGTTAATCTGATGGAAAAAGAAACAATAAATTGAAGAGAGAGAATGTTATTTTGGTCAGTTAATTGAAAAAATGAATGTCTTAGTCAAAATGGGGTTGGAAATAGAGCCGCCCAAAGAAAGTTACATAATACAAGCATGAGCAAACCCATAAGAACCACTTTTTGACATTTTCCACTTACCTGTCCAAGCCGACCAACCAAACCATAAATTCCTCCAAGAACAGTGGTGAACAGGGTATACCATATTTGAGTATCCATAAAGTAGACCTAAAGAGAAAAGAGACTATATCAAAAAGCAGTAGACACATAAGCTGAACAAGAGTTAGGACGGTATACCCAAAGGAAAGAAGTAGTATAGCCTGTACCAGCATAATAGGAGCCCAGAGAGCAATCACAACACCAATGTCTTTTGCTGCAATGTTAAGAAGTATATATAAATACAGATTCTTGATGCTCGTTAAGAAGGATTTACAAAAACATAGTAATATTCAGCTTCATTACCTCGTGGAAAGAATTCATGCCACTGGAATTTAGTCACCCGAACACTCATTATAGTTTCTGTAGGACCACCAAAGGCGCTATCTGCTTCTCATTTGAAAAGGGAAAAACATGCTTTACCAGGAATCTAAACGAGTAGCGGCCATTAAAATGAGTCGTGCATATTTTCTTGAGTTCTCAGGCAAAAAAGAAATGTCAAGAGTTTGCATTACAGCGTGCGCAAACTTCATATAATGCCATCAACCAACTTCAAAGATTTTATCACAGGTTTTCAATTGCAAGAAAACATATCCTGATTATTCCTTTACCCTAGATATACTTGATAAGTACCACAGAAAGAGTTTAAAGACGGTAAAGTACTCAACATACCTCCACGTAATAGCTGAATGCCAACTTTGCAATTATTAGAAGAACCCAGAACATCGCGTACCTAACACAAAGGTGCCATAGAGTAAATGTCAGACTTTGGCCCAACAAAAAAAAGTATGTGTCTGAGTGTACGTCTTTCAAGAAAGAAGTCTTACTTGAAGAAAGAGAATGCGCTTTCACGCATTCCCCTCCCAACATAGAGCGGAGGCTGCAATTCATGAGGTAACCATTACGGCCAGACATCCATAAATAACAAACAGGACTATACTTGATCCGTCATGTGCACAAGCAACTAAATTCTTGTTTCAGCATTTAATCGCAAAATAAAACAGGAATGATGATCATATGCATACCTGTGACCACACATTCATATAGTGCAACCTCTCCAGAAATCGGCAGCTCGAAGGGAAGAAAAACAACCATCCAGCAAGCATTTTTTTTTTTTTTTGGTAAGGTAAGGATCCAGCAAGCATTTTTGTAAAGAGGTAAATCGCAACAGCTAAGATAAACCAGGAAATTGACTTCGAACTGTCACCAAACCAGCTTGCTGGTTTGAGTGGATCCAGGAGAATTCTCCCAAGTATAATCGTATGTTGCTATGAAAATAATAACCTGACCAGCAGCAAAAATAATCTTCAAGTTATATCTTTGCTTTAGATCATCAGACATGCTCCGTCGTGCTTTCCAGGTGAGAATTACATCAAGCACAGCTGCACTGAAAAAGCAAAAAGGTTATTCTTCCATGCTAATATCCCGTGAGAGTTTTGAGTATAACAGTTGAAGTATTGTCCCACATCAGTTGACAACAAGTCATAATGCTATTTATATTCATGTGGTCTCCCTCTACCTATCAACTTAAGCTTTTGGGTTGGACTTTCTAACGATAACAAAACAGTTATAGCAGACTTAGGCTAGGAGAGCCTGCCTTAACCAAAAAGATATATAAAAGAAACCCGGAAGTTGTGTACTTTAGCAAATTTGTAAAAGACTCTAAGAAAGAGAACAAAGATAGAGGCTCCACCTAAATCCAGTAATGTCTCGATAAGAAAATTGAGTCTTGCACAGCAGAAGCAAATTTTTCCCTCCTCATTGCCAGTTCATATTTCTTTTCCTCGATTACACAGGCAATTTCTGTACATTAATTGGAGCTATCTAGGCTACAAGTTATTGCTACTTATCTTAATTTTCTAAAAAGCAGGTATACTTTATAAATAACCAGACATTTGATGTTCACATGAGCAGCAAAGCATTGGTTTCCAAAACACTGGTAATTGCTTCAATATTCGGTGTCAATTTGAGTGTACATGCACTCTAGATCATGAAATGATCTAAACTCAGTTATTTGAAATCATAAATGAGATTGCATGCACTTAATACACTGAACAAAAATCTGTTAAGCACATGATTTCACATGTTTTTCTATTTGGTAATGCTCGTCAAATGCAAAACATGGCTAGAGACCATCGCTAGTCTTGCTGTAGAATAGCAGGCAAGATGAATAAGATACAGATGATTTATGTACAAGCAAAGTGCAAGAAGCCTAGGGAAGGAAAAGGCAAAGGAATTGACAGCAGTAAGGTTAATCTCTAATACCTTGTCCTAGCTCCAGTATAGCAGCAGTTATAAAGATAGACAACAATTTCTTAAAAACATCAGGGGTAAAGAGAGCAGTTGGATCCCCGGAGCCATTCCATGCAACAATTATCATTGCCTAAAATAAGATGAGAGTCAAATTCAGTCAAATTTTGCATAGACAAAATCCTAGCGTCCCAAGCATCAAGAAAGTGTAAACATGAACCTGTAAGAATAGAATAAAGAAGCTCCACATCCGATCATAGCTTCTGAAATGTGCCAGAAAGACCGTATCTCAACAAAATTCACTTTCCCAACCCATCGATTGTGATAAGCAGGTTTTGAATCCTACATGTAGGGACACAAGAAAATCAAGATTAGCACACATACGTCCAATTGATCTTCATAGCTTCATCAAACAAAAAAACTAGCAATCCTCACTCCCTCACTAATCAAGTTGCTTTTCACCGATACAGAGCGAGAGAAAGGAGCAAGGGGAAAGATTAAGCATGCATTCGGCTGGCACAGAGAAGAGGGAGGGCGGCAGGCTGCTCCAAACCCTCCTCCCCATAAAAAAATAATAAAAATAATAAACAAGGCCTTCAAAAGCCAAAGTTAACAGGAGGCCAACAACAAGTTTTGCCCAGCTGGCGCCCCTTGTAGAACAAGTTGCAAGAGGCTCTTAAAATTGTCACTTTTCCTCTCTCTTTGACTACAATAGAAATTCGTTAAATTGATCCTACATTATGTTTCTAGACTTATTTAGTATTAGTAAATATAGAGAACTGACAATAATAAGATTTAGATGTAAATATGTAAGCTATTAAAGTACACGTAATTTTTTGATTGTGTAAAAAAATGCATGATTTGATCATAGTTTTTAGACCATCAAACTTAACGTTCCTTGAGAACTACGTTATCCAAATTTTTGGAGGAGGTGCTGATCGTAAAATTTGGTTCAATCATGAAGGATGGATTACTCTGTTAAATGTGGGAGTGCAGGGGGCAGGGATGGGATGACTACAAAAGAAAATTTTCCATTAGTGTGGGCAACAACGGCAAACCTTGCCATATGTGGAGATGCCGCCTTAAAAGGTGTGTTCACTTGTTCCTTGTAGAAACAGACAAGCAAGCTAAGTGGCTGATGGCAAGAAGCTAGCATGGAAAAATGGTTTAGCAGAATGACTTTATACGTCAGGCTCAAGACAGGGACTCAGAAGCTTTATATAATTTCTTTGAGCAGTACATGATAACATTAGACATGGGAAAGTATGACCGCCATTGAGATATTGTTCTAGCTCCTACTTGGATCTCACCTCAGCAGAAGTTATGCAACAGAATGCGCTTTTCCCACGGAAGTCAATTTGCAAATTAGAGGTCATCTGAAGGCTTTATTTTTCTCCTAGGACACTGCCCAGGGAGTGGGGACGTAATCTAACTTTCGATAACCATCAGAAGAAAGGAAAACTTTTGGCGAATCAGATGCTTTCTTACATAAGAACGAAGGAGTGAGCATGAACCACCAATTGTTGCATCATAGTTGTACCAAACAGAATGGACTATATTGTTCGCGACTTTAGGATAAAGTGAGGTACTTCAAAATCAGTACAAGATGAACTTTGGGCTGGGGAGGCTATCAATTTTTGAGCAGGAAAGACAAAGTTGTCAAGATGATTCCTCTACTTGTCTCTTGGTTCATTTGGAAAGAAAGAAAGAAAGAAACAGGAGGGCACTTCGATGAGATGAATCCCAACAGAATTCTTTCAGATATTAGTGGCTTTACACTTTCACTTTAGGTATGGTGGGAAAATTCAATTTCATACTTATAGCTTGTTGCAGATGACAGAAACCGTCTCTTAATAATTTTTTTTTAACGGGTGGCTTCCCTTAGGAAGTTGTTTCGTGTGCAAGCGGAAACCCTCGGTGCCTTCCATGATAAAAGTCCGGTCACCCTTCATAATAAGAGCGCTTAATGTTCCTTGATTGTGTGTATATGTGGTTAAAACAGTATTTTGTAATATAGAAATATACATGTGGCGAGTGATGTAACAAGCATGAGATTCTCTCATAAACAGATTTACTTTTAAGCAACCAAAAGAAAGACTAGCAAGGAAGGAAGAAATATTACGTACCTCGGTTTTCTCAAACTGTAGCTGCTCAGCAGGAAGGTGAAAAAAATCAGCATCTGCAGACATTGACCAACCCAACTGTCCGAAACACTCATCGGACCTGTCAAAAGATAGGAAGTTAATATCCCCCAAAAGTTAAAGGAGAAGCTAGTGAAAAAAGGTGAATTACCAAAAGTATTCATTTAAATCATCATAGTTCCTCCATTGAGAATGGGCTAATCTTCCACGCTTACTCCTTTCCGCTTCCTGGTTTGGAATTAAAGTAGCATTAAAAACCCAAAGCACAACGAGATAAGACAAATTGTGTATATATACATATGTTGTGAAGTACCTTTGCAATCATTTCATAAATAGGAATAATGACTTCTCTCAAGAAGGTCTCTTCTTCACCTCCGTAAGCAAGCTTTACACTTTTTTCAGTCACGGGATTGACACAATCACTTAGCGAACCAAACACTTCAATAGCCATCTACAAGAAGCACAACCAAAAATTAAATAAAGCTTCGTAACAAAGAAAGAAGAGCACTTACAGAATGTACACGCTCCAATATCGGTATAGTACTGGCTTCTGACAAAATTATTTTACTTGAAAGAAAGCTCTTTCTTAGCATGACTAAGTACTAACACTATCCATTCAGATAATCAATATAAACATTATTCACCAGACGACCTAGTGAAATAATTTATTTTCTAGTACTTCACACTTAGAGAAGATTAAACCACTCACAGACAAAAGCTATCCTAGCATTGCTGCTCTCGACTTCATTCACCGCACGCAGCACCGGCACTATCTGCTCCGCCAGCAAAGATGGCACTGCCTCACTGTCGAAGGTGGAGCTGGGCTCACCACGGTTGCCATGGTCGCCCCCTCTTTGCGAGGTCGACATTGAACCGGCGAATGCTCCTTTTTCCATGAAAAGAAGAAGAAAGACGTGAGTAAGCTAAGACGTGATCAAAACAGAAGAACTTCTTCCATTTACTAATCATAACTCAAGACAAGCGAATTCCATCTTCAGCAAAGCTTGATAAAGCATCAACTTGCTTGATCTTATTTCAACAAGCATCACAACAACCATTGCACAGAAAAACTCCTAGACAAATGAATCCCTGAAATTCTTGTTTCCACCAAAGCCACCATGCACGAGCATGTAAAATTACAGTTGTTGATAAAAGGAATATATCTTGACAGTTACCCTGCGGCGGTCTTAGCCATGATTTGATTGCAGTCCCATACCAGAATGCAGATAATTTGATTGCGGTCCCATACCAGAATGCACATAAATAGGAACTAGAAGAAAACTAGTGCATGTCACCACAAATGCCATTAATATGTGTGGTCGTATGTGTTAGAGTAGGGACGTGAAAGAGAGAGATGATTCCCAATGCATACGTGAAAAGTGTGAGATGAACTTAAAAGTAAAAGGCACAGCTTGCATGCAATCCCCGTCATCTTCAACCGAATAAAAAGTGACTAAAACAGAGTACTATGCCACAACTTGTCTAATCAAACTTCCTCGGATGATGGATGACATGCAAACTCCAGTACATATTCAGAGTGTGAGACTGGCATTGGTCGAAGAGGAAAAAGAAAAGGAAAAATACGAAATCCAAATACATCACAGCGAGTACGATAAAATCATGACCCTTCGAAAAAACGAATGCTGGCTTGAAAAACATGCACGTCCCTCAAAATATATCAAGAATTTCTGTCGTTGCAGTAGTCTCTGCCATAAACCTTTAATAGAGGATTCAAAAAGTAAAATCTGACTTCCATGTCTCTCCAGCCCGGTCCCTATACTCAAAAGCTCCTTCTCAAGACAGATACCTTGGTCCAGGATCTAATCCGGGAAGCAAATACCAGTTTATGATCTAGATAGACCTAACAATCAGTCAGCCGGAATTGCTCGACAGAAATTAAGCGCATCATCAAACAAACAATGCGCCATGCAAGAGCCGAGTTTTTCTCAGTCACCAAAACTGACACTCGACCTCTTGGCCACGTATAATCCAACATGCTACAAAAAATTCTGCAACAACACGGATGAATTAAAACAATGAAATGCCTAGATATACCTAAACCAGTGAATACAGTAACCCACCAAATGCAATGCAGCAGCACACACTCTCTTCGCACATTCCGCAATCACACCAACAGGAGCCGCGTAAAATCGGAAAATCCCTAACATCGCCACGCCACTCTGGTAACCAATTCCACCGGCACAAAAGCCTTCTAGGGAAAAAAAAAAGAAAGAAAGAAAAAATCGAACGAACAAGTCGCCGCCAACGCCAAAAATCGGCCGATCACGAATTAAGAAAGAGAATCGCGAGAAAAAAAACTCTGCCAAGAACGGCGACTCTTCCGCCTCTCCGATACCTAACTCCGGCCGCTCGAATCGAAACACTAAACCACGCGACGAGAAGGAAGGGGGAACAACACAACGAAAGAACAAGAGGCAGAGAGCGGATCGGAAATCGAAACGCCGGGCTCCCGCCGCCTCGCGAATCCGCCGATGAACGCGAATGCGGCAATTGAAGGAGATCCGAGATAACAGCCGAAGAGAGAGAGAGAGAGACTGACCTGCGAGGGAGGAGGACGGCAGTGCTCCGATCGATCGATCGGTCGCAGTCGGCGACGGAGCGGCGATTCGCGGAGGGGCCGGGGGAGGAAGGTGGAGACTGATGGGAATTTCGAGGCTCAAAGACACGGCCACGGTTCGGAACCGGCCGGTTCCGGTTCGTGGCCATGTGTGAACCGGAACCGGCCGGTTCCGGACCGTAATTTAAAAAATTTTAAAATAAATTATGAAATAAAAAAATAATGAATTATAAAATTATGAAATAATGAATTATTCAATATAAATTGTAACCGAAATGTAAATTGTAGGGGTTCTCGGTTCGGTCCGGTTCCGCTCGGAAACCGGTCCCTTAATTTTAGAACTAGGAACTGGACCGGCAAATCATAGAACCGGAAATCGGACCATTGGCCAGGTCCGATTCTAGGCGGTCCAATGGAACCCTTTGCTCTTAATTAGCAAAGGATCGTAGCACAAAAGGCATACAAATTTACATGCTCATGGCTTAGTTTGGGTTTTATACACAACCCCTTTGATGGTCTCTTCATTCCCATTCGATGTGGGACTCTTGGCATTTGCATGAAGACAAGCCAAGAGTCTCACATTGAAGGTGTTCAAGGCAAACCGAGAGTCCTATATCGAATGGGAACGAAGAGGCATTAGAATCATTGTGTATAAAACTCAAGCAAGCCTTGTAATTAAAGTTCAATACACCTAAGTCAAGCATTATAATTAGAGATTAATGCACTTACAATGCATGGCAATTAGAGTTCAAATTGTTTTATAAAAAAAAATTAAATAATGAATTTAAAAAAAATTCATTATTATTTTTTGGAACCGGAACCGGCGGTTCCGAGCCGAGTTCCAAAATTGTTGGAACCGGAATCGGGCCCATAGGCCACGGGCCTGTTCCGGTTCCGAACCGCGAGCCTAGTCAACAGGCCGGGCCCGGATTTGACCGGGCCGGTTCCGGGCCAAAACCGGCCCGTGGCCATGTCTTAAACTGAATAAGAATAGGGTTTTTGTTTTTTCGATATTCATCGCCCCATTTTCTGGCCAATATTTTTTATTTTTATTTATTTATATTTATATATATGTATATGTGAAATCGATATTTTCTTTTTGGGTCCGTCGCAACGGAACTGTTTTTTCCGCACAAACTGAACTGAACGGAACGGCGAACCTCCGTCGTGGGACGGCCTTTTCGCCAAACTGTTCTTCTCCTCCCCGTCCTCCAATTCTTTCCCACGTTTCGTCTTTTCGCTCCAACCCGCTTTCTGATTTTCCATTTTGGTCCCTCGAGGTTGCGGTTCTCTCTCGGTTACTTTATGGAGCGCTAGCGGCGACTCTCGAGGGAAGAAGTAGTAACTTTCCGCTATGTGGCGCAACGGTGACTTGTAGACTTGATCCATGAGCGGGCTTGGCTGAATTTTGTAAGCCCATTGGGCGGGCTTGGACAAGTCCGATCAACAGGTGGGCAAGGCCCATGAGGCCCGGCCCGTTGACCTCTTATATTTATTTTTAAAAAATTACAAAATGTCCGAATGCTTTCCCATATTTGACGAGATAAGTCATTATATTCAGTAAATTGGATTATAAATGGGTATAGAATAATAAAGTTAAAAAATATATATGAATGTTAATGGGTTCACGTTCATCTGGAACCAAACTCATGCAAGAATATTTCCTATAAAATCCAACATTAAACTTTTATTTCTGCCCCATATGGAAGAACACGCGTTGTATAACATGTAATTTAATATGAAATGTTTATCCAAGCGGGTTAAACAAGGAGGTTATAGGTGTTCGTAGGTTAAATTAATAATATATGCATTTTAGTAATATGGGTCGGGTCAGTTGTGGGGTATGGATCACTAAATTTATATTGCATATAAATTGATCAATTTAGATCGAATTATTTGTGACCCGACCCACCCATTTAATGGTCTACTCAAGAAAAATTGGAAGTCGTTGATGTTGTAATTATCTATTTATTATATTGAGATAATGACACAAATGGTTCGTGAATTTTGGCCCAATGTGTAATGTATTCCCTGAATTTTTAATTTGTTAAATGTAGCCTTTGAACTTTACCCAATGTATAATGTGGTTCATGAATTTTTAATTTGTTCAACGTGATCCAAATTTAATCCCTAAATTATATGAAATATTCAGTATTATCATTTCATTAATTCAAATTTAGGGACAATATTGAACATTTTCATATAATTAAAAGTTTAAATTGAGCATATACCAACGAAACACATTACACGTTTGAATAAACTTTAAAATTTCATATTGAATAAATTAAAAATTTATAAATCATTGGTATAATTTTCTCCCGTAACATTACGTTTCGGTCCACTTTCTCACTCCCACCAAATTTACCGAACACGGCATTCACGTTGGCGTCCGAACCGAAAGCGATGTCGGCGGCGATTGAAGACAAGGAAGGGATTGCCGAACCTAGCATCCCTTCGATTCCCTCTTTCTTCTGCTGCTGATTAATTAATGCACGAATCAAAATTCACAAACCGAACCTCACTTCTTCACCTACTCTTCTAGCTCGAGAGGTTCTTGCTCCTTCGAGTTTCATGCATTTGGAGGATTGAGTTCGGTTTGCGGAGCTTGAGGATCGAGGATGATGATGATGGCGGCGGCGGCGGCGACCACCGTGGCTTCTCCTCCTCCTTGTTCCTTCCTCCGCTGCAACCGCGTCGTCTTCCCGCCGCGCGGTTTCTCGCAGAGCAGCGGGGTCCGGCCTCCTCCCGCGCGATACGGCTCGTCTTCCACTTGTCTACGGCGGAGCGCGCCCATCAGGGCCATGGTTTCCGAGCCGACAGCGGGGAAGCAGCAGCAGCTCGAGGTCGTGCGGAACGTGTCTCTGTTTGTGTTGTTGCCGTTGTTGCTGCTGCTGCTGCTGCATGAGTGTTTGCTTTGTTTGCGTCGCTGAGTGATGGGTGTTGTTTTTGGTTGTGGGT